TCAAATTTCAAGGACAGATGGACACCCTCACATACTGGGGCGCTTCCTGTCTCTGATGCTGCCTTGTGGGGACTGTGTATGTTTATTAGTAGGTCTAGCACCACCATCTCAGCTTTAAACTCCTTTAAGGACGAGAATTGTACATTATTAGTTTTTCTGTCTCCCACATCCTTAGCACTTACGCATGTAGGAGGTGTACTCAATGTATATTTTATTAAACTAATGAATGCTGTTGCGATATTGAGCATTTAAATGCCAGCGTCTGCAAGATTAAGCGTGATAACAGAGTATTTGCTTTCACCACGCAGACGCAATTATTGTTTTCCAATTAGATCCACATACTCCGGGCTTTCCCCTTATCCATTGTTCTTCAGCTCAGTTCTCTCTTAGGGGCCCCTTGTCAAAGTATTTATTAGGCCTCATTTAGGACCAGGCTTATGAAATGTCCATGAAAACAGGAAAACAAGTTGGTGTGACGAAGTGTGGTTTGCAAGCAATCTGAAGGCAGAGGCGCTTGTGTGATGCATGCTCTGCTGTCTCTGTGGCTAACTAGAATCTGTCATGTAGGAGATGCTGCCAAGTCTTTGAGAGAGAGAGTAAGGGCGTAGGCAGGGGGTGGCAAGGAGAAAGAAAAGTGACTGTGATACAGTGATTGTCGCTGTCTTCTGTTGTTTTCAGCATAGTTCCTTAGCCTAAGTTATTTTAAAGTGGCTTCTGTTAGTATCTTCGGTGCTTTAACAATGGTTATGAAGGCAATATTTCATTCATAAGGATGACAGTACAATCATCTTCAGCCCACTTACTGATTTTCACCGGAGAAAACTATTAAATGATTCTTAGTACAAGGGTTACAGACATCTGTTTTGTTAAAGAGCTATATGCGTTCACTTTGGGGGCTCACCTGACAAATAGAAGAAATCCAAGTGCTGGTGATGTCCGTGCAGCCCAACATCTTTCACCACGGTGACTTTCTTCAGGAAAATCGAAACCACCTCAACAATGAGCCCGAGATCATTTTGTCAGGACGAATCTGTCCACCAATTTGTCCGAAAGTCGTTTCTCACATTGCAGAGTGGTAACCTTTGTCCAAGTGACTGTTCCTCCGACAAACCCAGCCACGTCCCTGTCACTAGACACACTAATGATGCATGTGTCTGCTGCTTCCATCTGCACCTCCCCTGCCATTTGTCACTCTACCTCCGGACGGCAGGCAAGGCTATTTGTCTGCCTCAGCTTATTATGTAAATCCCCTGCGCACATGAATACGCTGTGTGGGTATCTCTTATATCACAGCTGATAGCTCCAAATGCATGCTGCTCTGTGATGGTAAATTCTGGTTTGGTCCCGGCCTTGTGTCTCACTTTGATTCATTATTTTTGTAAAAGAGGAGATAAGACGGCATAGTGGGTTACACATTGGACTGCTAAGCACAAGGTCATCAGTTGGAAAGCAGTAGCTGCTCTTAGGGAGAAAGATGAGGCTTTTTACTCCCATAAAGATGTACAGTTTGGGAAATCCACAGGGGCAGTTCTGCTCTGTCCTATAAGCCTACCACGAGTCAGACCAGATGGCAGTGAGCAAATTGAGTAAGATTTTTGTAAAAGGTAGTGGGACTGTCTTACAGGTTTGGGGACTTACCTTCCTCCAATCCTGATACCACCTCCTTCTTCAGACAGTGCAGCTCTTCCTAGTGTTTGCTCAGCGTGCACACTGAACAAGTGTGGGGAGAGGACCCAGCCCTGACACACACCTCTCCTGATTTTAAACCAGGCAGTGTCCCCTTTTTCTGTTGCAAAACAGCCTCTTGAGTTAGGTACAGCTTCCTCATGAGCACAATCAAGTGTTCTAGAATTCCCATTCTCCTCACTGCTCTCCCTAGATGGGTATGATCCACACGGCCACATGTCTTCGCATAGTCCTTAAAGCGCAAAGCGTCTGAAGTCTGTGAGGCAGATTCTCCTCAGCCTTGCTTCCAGGGAGCATTCTGGCGGAACTTCTTCCAAGAGAGATCTGTTTGTTCTTCTGGCAGTCCATGGTACTTTCAGTAGTCTTTGCCAACACCATAATTCAGACACATCCGTTCTTTTGCCACCTTCCTTACTCATGGTCCAGCTTTCACCTGTAGATGAGGGGATTGAAAACACTAATCCGTAGGCAGGCACACTGAGCCCTCAAGGCGACTTCTTTGCGCTTAACGCTTTAAAGTGGTCTTGTGCGGCAGACATCCTTGTAGCTGCATAGATGTGATCCAGTCATGGATAATACTATCATATCTATACACGGAGAGATATTATGTATTCAACTTTCATATTGGTTTTACTCAGCGATTACTCTGTTATCAACAATATGCATGCATAGGTCTTGTAATACAGTCTGTGCTAGGGAGTATTTATACTCCTACAAGGATGGCCAGTTTATATAACTACTATTCAAATTAACTGATCGCAAAAGTCAGTGATGAAGAAATTAAAGAATTCTGCCAACTTCTTCAGTCTGAAATCGGTCAGATATTGTTATTACAGTTCAAGGTCGATTTTGAAATGTTCTTTGTGACGAAGGATGCGATGCTATTCCTCATGAATTTGCTGTATCCAGTATAGTAAACCATTAGATTGTCCAGTCCACGGTGACCTATCCCAGTCCATTGCAGCTCAATAATGCTAGGGACATTGATCTTTTTGATTGCTTTCAGTTTTCCTAGATTCATACTTCATACATTCATCACGATTATTTGTGGATGCTTACAGCTGTTTTTAGTCATCTTTTATTTGATCCTCATCAGCAAACGAAGATCTCAGAAACTTTATTCACGTCAGTAAAGTCTAATCTACCTCAAGGAAGCAGCTCTTCCTGAACGGGCATATTTTGAGTTCTTTTCGAACTAAGGAACTTAACTTCTGGCACTGTATCAGGTAGTGTTCCATTGCTACTTGCAGGTTTTCAGTGGCTAACATCTCAAAAGTGAACAGCCTATTCATTTTCCCTACTCTGTTTTTAGTCTGGAAGCCCCACTGCAGCCTGTTCTCCATGGGTGGCCCTGCTGGAGTTTGAAATCCCAGTGGCATATCTTCTAACATCACAGCCACATACAAGCCACCACAGAATGACAAACTGACAGATGAGGGATAGAAGTCACATAATAGTTAATTAATATATGTACAATAAATATCAGGTAACTTTTGGAAATACATAATGAATAATAGTACATTTCATCAATACTATTGCCACAAAACTGAAATGAGTTAGGGGAATTGGGAAGAAAGGATTAAGAGGGAAGCCATGTAAAAATAAAGTTGAGAAAAGACTATATGTCAGTGAGGGTAGAAGCACAAAAGTAAAGACATTAGATGTATGATGCATTTATTGCAAGTTGACACATCTCAGCTCTCAGAGCACGTCCACGTGTCCAGTCATGTCTGCTCATTAGCACACTCTGCCTGCAGTGTTGACGGGTCTGTTATGCATAGAATATGGAGGCGTTGAGTGGGAGAAAGGTTAAACGACTTGCTTAATATCCACCCCGCTATCATGATCCCAATCCTGCCTTTCACTGCGGGCTAGGGCCGAGCATGTACACTGGTACAGATAAGAGCTCAGGACCCATGGAGTCCAGGTCAGATAAACCCCTCAGGAACAGAAATGAGAGTAGTGATACCAGGAGGGTAGGGAAGATGAGGAGAGGAGGGGGGGAGGGGGAGGAAGAAATCGCGGGGGAAGGGAGACAACAGTCAGTGTAAGATATGAGAACAATAATAATTTATAATTTATGAAAGAGTCATAAGGGTGGGAGGAGGGGAGGGAGGGTAAAAAGAGCTCATACCAAGGGCTCAAAGAGAATGTAAATGTTTAGAAAGTAATGATGGCAACATATGTACAAATATGTTTGATATAATTGATGTATGGATTGATATGAGTTGTAAGAGCCTCCAATACATTGATCATTAGTATATATGCATATATATATATATGTATGTATGTATGTATGTATATATATATCTGTTAGGCTAGCAGAAGTGGAATGCAGGTCATCAGAGTTGACCCCGGGTGCTCTTTCTTCTGTGTGGACCTGTTCCTTTAGATAACTGAAGAGTCATCTGCCAGTTTGACTCACTTTGTTCTTCTGCCCTATTTTCACTCTTGATCCTTCATCGCCAAATTAAACGTTTATCTTACCAGGATGTCTGCATATGCATGATTTAGGCTCTTTTACCTTATTTACCATACCACATCATATTAAACCGTGGGCAGAATCTGGTTATTATCTGATATTAACTCACTTTTGCCTTACACAAAACAAGGAAAGAAAAGTAATGTTTTTTGAGGTCTATTTAGAAATAGGAGACTTGGCGGCACAGTGGTTAAAGCACTCAGCTGTTAACCACAAAAGGTCAGCAGTTTGAACCCTCCAGTGCTCCCTACCTAAGAGAGATGTGGCAGTCTGTTTAGGTGAAGAACACTGCACACCCTATAGGGTAATTCAGCTCTGTCCTATAAGGGCTCTATAAGTCAGAATCCACTCGATGGTAGTGAGTGTTTGAGAACTTAAAACTCAAAGCTGCTCTAGGTACCTGGGTTCATAGTGTCCCAAGGGCATCTGTGGTACTATTTTTTGTTTTTGAAAACAGAGCCTGAGGCTGTAAGTATAACTGACACGGTTTGAAATCTGTTTGTTTGGTTTGGGTTTTGTTTTCTGTCTCCAAAGTCTATGCTATTTCCATTGTGAATCAAGTCCCTCTTCCCAATGTCAAGCAATTTTTGAACATGAAACAAATGGAGGATTCAAAGAAACAAACCGCTTCCTCTGTCCCCTCGTTCCACAAATGGACCTTAGTATGTAGTAGAGAACTATGCCGGGACTCTGGAGCCCTGTGCTGAGGTAGCCACAGAAATCATTTAGGTTCTCTCACTCGTGATGTAAAGGAGCTTGGGGAGAGGAGGCTATCAGAACTTCTTCGGTCGATCTCTTAATAAAATGCTGCTATTGATTGTTTCATTTGTAGTATAAAGATGCATTCATGAAAGCAAACCCTGGGTACAAGTGGTGTCCAACGACAAACAAGCCTGTGAAATCCCCAACGTCCACTGTCAATCCACGCAAGAAGCTCTGGGCCTGCCCATCTGAGCCATCGAGAGACCTGCCAAGCCCCAAGAAAGCCAAGACTGAAGCCATGCCTCAACTTAACTTTGGAATGGCTGGTGAGTTTGTGTGCTATTTCTACCTCTTCTCTAAGGATTCGCCAATATATTTAGGCAGTATTTTTAACAAATTACACACACAAAGGAGTCAAATTTTTTTTTTCAAATTTATAACTTATATGAAGCAATGACAAATAGAAAAGTTGTCTTAGAGCATTAGTGCCTGACATAGGTAAATGTACAAGAATATGTCATTAAACAGATTTATAGAACAAGTTGCCGAGCATTATAAATATATGTGAATTCTTGACACTATAGAACAGCAGAGGTTAAACTATAGACTGAGGAGCTCAGAGAAATTTATAATCTTAAAATAGTTTACTCACACATACTAGTGAGCTGTCACCTAAGTAATCATCCCTTTAAAAAAAACACCATGATTTTGTAGGTCATCTCTGCTTGTGAAGCTTGGAGGAGGGGAACGCTTTGACAGGAAGTTGAGCATCTTTGTGAGGACTAATTAATTTTCATAGCCAGTAGCTCTAATGAGACTTCTTCAAGGTGTAATTGATAGCATAACAAAGTATGTGTCGATATAGATTGTAAGTGCTAAGAAATGCAGTCTAATATAATAGCAACTCAGAGGAAGCAAAAGTCTCCAGGTGATGTTACTGCTATGTAGCTGCATGATGGGATAGTAGGTTACTGCGCATAGTGTTGGGCTGCTAACCACAACGTCGGCAGTTTGAAACCCACAGCCGCAGTCTGTCCTGCCATGTAGGCTTGCTATAAGGCAAAACCGACGCAGTGACAGTGACTTTGGGTTAGTTCTATTATAGTTCTAGATGAGCACCCACATGATGTTCTTGCACATAACAGAAGAAACAAAACAGACAGCTGTCCTTGTTGTAGGCACTGCCACTTGGTACAACTTTAACTTTAGCCCTCCTGCCATCAGGAACAATCTGGATTTACTGAGTGAATCAGTTGGAGTATTTTATATTAACAAGAATAAAAAAGGGCACATGTATAATTGACCTCTAATGGAATTCCTTTAATTATTATTTATATGTCTTCATGATTTTTTTCTCCTACATTTTTCTTGCATTTTTTTTTGCTTGCCTATTGCACTTCACAAACTGCATAATAATTGTAGGTAAATTACAGAAAGCTATGTAACTTGTCTTGTTTATAGCCCTTTTTCTGACAGCCTATTTATTGATTGGCCTTCTGTCTATTGAAAGTGGACCTTCTGCCTATTAAAAGTGGACCTTCAAATAGAATACAGGTCAAGCTTTAAAACATTTTTTTTTTAAAGCAAACGTACATGAAAGAAGGTAAAAACCATTGTGTTAGTCCAGGAAGACTAGAGAAACAAATTCATAGAGACTCAGATATGTATAGGAAAGAGCTTTATATACAAGAGCAGTTGAATATTAAGAAAACATCCCAGCCCCGTCCAGATAAAGTCCATATGTTCGATATTAGCCCATATGTCTGATACCAATCTATAATGTCCTCTTCAGAATCGCGAAACACATGCAATGATGTTGATGCAGGAAGTGTATGGGCTAGTGGGTGCAAAGTCTTGTAGATCCAATGGCGGTAGAGGCATCTCAGTATTGGCAGGGGTTTCCACATGGCTTTTCCAGCACCCAGGGCTGTATCAGGGTAGGTCCAGGTCCATGTGGCTTCTCCTCGGGGATGCCTTGCAGGGAGGAAGCCTTGTCAGTAGAGTCTCTAAGGGAGTGAGCAGAGAGAGAGAAGTCTTCCACCTCCATGGAGGAAAAACCAGATTTCTCTGGAGAAAACCATGCCCACACAGAGACCTCATTGGCTGTGATCCGATTGACAGACTAGACTCCACCCCTTCACTCTTAATCCTCTCAAGTCCCAAATTGACACCAGATTGTGTGACTACCACAACCATCTTCCTTATATTTAGCACATGATACAAAGGTCAGTCAAATGTCTTGCTACAGGGTTCCAGTTTCTACATGCATGGGTCTATATAAAATAAAATTTAATTAAAACTTGTCTCTGTGATCTCTAGATGGCTGCAGTTAAGTTCGCTCAGAATTCCACTTGTCTTAGTCTTGTTAGTATGCCTTAAAAAAAGAGTCCAATCACTGTAGTGCCTTCTGAGAGGATCTGATGGGCCTATTTAACAGAGATGTTAGCTTAGCAGATGATTATGGCAGATGCATTTTGGAATTCCAAAGGGGTAATTCTGATTGATTTCCCCTAAGGCCACAGGATGGTCATGGGGCTTTATTATGGATAAGTTTTAAAAACACTGAAATCTGCATTGGTGAGAGAGAGTTCAATTGGTCCAAGGAATTTTATCTATATTTTCTGTCAGGACAGCTCATTCTTCAAAGGTAGCCAAAGCTGTCTTATGAGAATTTCATTGATCAACCTTACTCCATCCACCCTATACCCCTGACCTTGCCCCTTCGCACTTCCTTTTTGTTCCCTAATTCAAAGAACATTGGCGTTTTGACATGTAAATGGAATAGCATAGAATTCTTGGAGAAAGAGTCAGAGATGGAAACCGTCTTCAGAATGAAGTAGCCATAGATGGAGGCTATATTGAGAAACAATATCTTCACATTTTGACAGTTTTCTTTAATAATGGTTTCTGTGACTCTTTAGCAATTCTTTCAGAATTATCTTTGTATAATGGCTTAGAAAAGGACCTGCACTTTATAAAGCCATGCTCAAAACCCTTGATAAGGTGCTGTAAGTAGATAATGTCGGCCTGATCATTCCAATTACTTTTATTTTGGTAAGATGAAAATGATTTAAATTATTTGCCTTTAAGCGTGATGCTTAGCTACTGGACCCTAGGAATTGTTTTGCTATTTTCCATCCAGTCAATTCCAACTTACGGCTTCCTTATGTACAATTGAATGAAATATTGCCCAGTCCTGTCTGTCTTCATGTTCGTAAGTTTGATTCCATTGTTGTGATATTGTATCAGTTCATCTCTTTGACATTTCACTAGTTCTTGCTGACCCTCCACTTTCCGAAGCTTGATGACCTTTGTCCATACGTCCTATAATATTGCCCAAACTAAGCAAGCCTCAGACCACAGGAATTAATAAAGGCCAATTTAGTCTTTTCCTCAACCTGGGATCTATTTTGTTCTGTTTGCCCAGTAGTTCTGTCATATGACATTTTACTATTTTGAACAACCTCATGGCAGTAAAATGCATGGTTTCCTAGCGGGGAAAGCTGTGTAGCATTTAGCTTACCATAGACCTATTCAGTGAAGGAAGCATATGCCTTTATTATAGCTAGATTGTTAATATTTCTAAGTAACAGTATATAAGAATTATTAAAAACGGCTGATAAAATTCCTTGGTCTATGTCTAATATCCATACAGAGAAAGTCTTTCAAAGTTACATTGATGTGTAATTTAAATAAATTATTGTGTAAGCATATTTCTCTTTTACTGTGTCATCTGAACTAACACATTTTTATCTGTATTAGAGAACAAACATCCTCTCCTCCTGAGTCCTAGAATGACAACTACACATGTATTGAGCTGCAAAAGAACTAAATTAAACTTACTTTCTGCTAAATTCATCTTATCTTTTTTTTATTTTAGAAAAGCTTTAAAATGCTATCTGTAAAAATAGAAGAGCATCTATTTTAACAGCCACAATTGTTCTTAAAGCAATGACTTGACATTTAATTAAGGATTGCTTGTTAACAACAGCAGAGCTTTGTTTAATCAAGTCAGAGGTCAGTGTTTGCCTCCGGATCCTAGATGTGTGTTTGCGGTGTGGGTGCCGCCCAACACGGTGCTGTTTTTGATCGCTTCATTATTTGGCAACATACTTTTTCTCTAGCAACATTTCTCCAACTACCTCAGGGGCTTCCCCCTCTACCCCTATATTGTAAACCAACTTGATGGCTTATATGATATGGTCAAACTTATCTCAGGAGTTGTCTGACAGGTTGGACAGGTTGTGTACAGAAACATTACTCAAGATCGTACCTTTAACCCAGAAAAGACAAACAAGGAAGCAATGAGCCTTGGGACAATGGTGTGACCGTTCCCATATTCAAATAGGGGACTGTTCCTAAAAAATGCAAATGCATTTATTGAGGATTTTTATGTACTGAGTTAGGTACGGAGTTAAGCATTTCATAAATAGTACTATTTCACAGCAGTTTTGACATTTAATTCATTTCAAGACAAACAACTTCAGAAAAGAAAGGCTTCTCATTAACTGCAATACTTTTGGTTTAATGTAACCCGGGTTATACCTTGCACACTTTGTCATTTTGATTATTGTCTTCAGTTCTGTTGGTTATTGAAAGAATCAAAAGGAACACAAAAGAATTTATTTTAAATCTTTAAGGTATTTGGATTAAGTAAGCACCTGACTATAATATTTCAAATATCAAAAAAGCATCATCAATGAATGTCATTTATTTATGAAAGTTTTCAAGAAAAAATATGTGAACAGAACTGGAAAAATTTTGGAAATTTCGAATTTGGAAAATTTCTCCATCATCCAGTTCCTCTGGTGCACTATATATCAGTTCTGATTTCGCATGACCAAATTAACAACTTAAGAAAAACAATCTCATGCTCCTTAAAAGACATTATTTTGTTTAACAGTGCCCATCTAAACTCCCAGGCGGCACAGAAAGATGTATCAGATCATGAAGTAATTTATGTTAAACATAGCTGTGGCATTCAAGAGAGTGCTGTGTAGAAAAGGTACCTTGTCCATAGTACAGCAGTCGAATTTAAAAGGCTCACAAAATATAGGTGATAAACATGCATATGCCACGTCATTATTACATAGTGTTGGAAGTTTTCCCTAAAACGTTACTTGTGGTTCTGTTGGGTTTCTAGCTTGTCAATTGATGATTTTTTTTTTTTTAATTACTTAGATCCTACGCAAATGGGAGGCCTAAGCATGCTGCTTTTAGCTGGAGAACATGCTCTTAGCACACCAGAGGTAAGCCATTCTTCTAGCCCTCTCCATTCTGCTCACTCTGGGTGTTGAGAACAGAGACACTTTCTAGCCTCTTCACATGGTTAGCTCTGCCTTGTCATAGTTGACAGCTCTTGGACAAACTCTGCTTAGAATTGTGCTCATGAAGATCTGCATGTATATGTGACTGAAGTGAAGATACCACACATGGCATAAATAACTCCAAGAAGACACGGACACACAACAGATGTCGCTTTGGGCATCAGTTAATCTGGAAATAAGAAGTGCTTGGTGCAAATATTTGGCATTTACATGAATATGTGATGTGTCTGTCAATAGCTTCTTATTATTTACTCCGTCTATTCACAATAGTCCTGGCTTTCATGATGTTCTCGTTAAAGACATGGTGGTGGGAAAATGAGAATAAAAGACATGGAACTATTGGTCTCTGTTACCTGTATAAGTCCAGACTCCTCCTTTGAAAAATTAGGAAACCTGGTGTTATAAGACTGCTTGAGTGTTTGAAGTGGAAAAGGGAAAGGACCCTGCTTCTCAGGACCTTGTTTGTTGTTCTTCTGATCTCTTATTGCTAACATTTTACATACGATTTTGAAAGGTCGATTTGAATTTATGGAATCCCTCTATTTTCCAGATCCATTTAGCAGAGACTGCTTGAATTAATAACCTGCAGTCGTAATTATATATTTCCCTTTAAATGTTGTTTCTTTATGTTTGTCGAGAATATACATAGCAAAACAACGATTCACCAATTTCTACATACACGATTTGCTGAGACTGGTCACAGCCGTTGAGGGGTGCAGCATTGTCACCTTCCCTGTCCGTTGTGTTCCTTCCTCATTCCCATGTGTTCACTGGCCCCTGAGGCTCCTATCTGACCTCTCATCTTTTGGTCATTTTATCACACTCGGGTCCTTGAGATGGCACAGCTTTGATTCTCAATCAGAGTCACTGTTTAGGGCAAAATAGCCATCTTTACAACTCAATTGTATCAAAGATTGATATTTTTTACATTTTCTTTTTAAGTTGTGAGCCAGTCATTACAGATGATAGTTTAACTCACTCAGTCAAAGCAGGAGATACTATGTAAACTATATCGCGAGAGGCTTTTATTATTTATAGTTAATATTTGGGATCCAGAGCTGTTGGTCTTATATTCAATTTAACTCAGTTCAGTTCACAAAATATGTAAATATGCAGCCTGACTTTTTAATTATTTGTACTGAACTAATCCTTACCTAAAAAAGAATTGTCCTTTGTGCCTTCATATACTCATTCAGCATGCTTATACCACCTAATACAACAGCTTCACCAGTCATCGTTGGATGACTACCAAATAGCCCACCAGACGAGCTTTCACCTGTGCGTAGAATATCCCAAGCATGTTCCAGAGGTGAATGTAGGAATAGTAATGCACACGACCTTTCAATACAGTCTCTGACTCTTGGGGTTTCTGAGAACGCATTGGCTTTACTAACAGATTAGATTATCATGACTGTTTGTTCCCTACGTCTTTTAGCGCTCTTTTAACTATGCTGTAAGTGTAAAATTTTTAAATGTAAACCAATAGACACCCATCGACTTTATGAATAGCCAAAGAAAAATGCTTGCCATAGGAAAGGATGGTCCCCCACCCCGAAAGATTTGCCTTTTTATTTCTTTCATTTTGTAGTTCTTCTCTTCTTTTAATAACAGTTCGGTTTTGAGATAGGCAGGTTTTAAAAGCCGGGTATGTCCTTTTTTGCTGATGAAGGGAAACTATTTTAGGAATTCCTGGGCTAAGAAAACAAAGAAAGCTAAATGCTTGAAGATAGAGCCCTCCCAGGAGAGGGGGACTTGCTAAGGAAGAAGTTGACAGCACTTGGGTAGGTCTTTAAGAACCACTTCTAAGAACAATGAGTAGCCCTTGTTATGCTGTTGCTTAAAGGTTGGTGGTTCAACCCACCAGTAGCCCCGTGGGAGAAAGATGAGATTCTCTGCTCCCATAAAGATCTAGAGCTGTGGAAACCCTGAACAGGGTTGCTGTGAATCAGATCCTACTCTACGGCAGTGGTTTCTAAGGACACAGCTCTATATAGCTTAGAGTTATTTAATTCATTTAAAATTATGAAGCAGTGAATATTGTATAGAATAATACTTTCCCTAAGTATAACTAGTTTGAGTTTATATCACAGACATAGTAGACTTCATTTAGCACCCAAAAGTCTTTGCAAAGTCCTATCCAAAAAAAGTAGGTATAGTCATAGAATTTTAGGGTGACAAGTAGTGATCATAAATTAATTTAGGAAATATATGCATTATAAATTCCTATGAAATTTAGCAGAATGGTGACACAAGAGATACAGAAATTTCATACTTCTGACATTTGGAATAATCGCTATGAAATGTAGTGATATTTTAAGTAGAACAATCCAAATAAAGTGACATTTTACAAAACTTCTTTCATAAATGTACTAGTCATGTACTTTGTTTAAATGCCAGGACAAAATTTTTATTCTGAAATATTCTTCTTAAAAGGAGGAGGTTTTCCTTTGTTTAGTCAATTGACCTGAAATGGAACCACATAGTAAAAGTCCTCAAAGACTATTTTTAATATAAAATGCATAATTAATAGACTTTTTTAATTTCAGAAGATAAATTTATTACCATTGATGACACATTTCCAAATTAAAAACATAATTGACCTATCCTGTTTCCTGGAAAGTGTTTCTAGCATCTTTAGAGAAATTAACAGGTTCTTGAGCTACCAATGGTCATATAAAATTAAGAAAATGTTAATTTCTCAATCTTTAATAATACTATTTTATGGCATTATGAATTCAGCATTTTTGTTATTGAACCAAGATTGATTATGTGTCAATTTTGATAATTCTGAGGAGCCCTGGAGACATAGTGGTAACAACTCGCCCTGCCATCTGCAAGGTCACCAGTTAGAAGCCACCGGCCCCACCCCTTGGGAGGAAGATGGGGCTTCGACTCCCACAAAGAACTTAGAGACCTGCAGGGGCAGTTCCACCCTGTCCTGGAGGGTCGCAGTGACTTGATGGCAGTGAGTTAGGATGACTCTGTCTCTCTGAGAAGTAAACAGAAATGAATATTATATTTACAGTTTTGATTCTTTTTTTGAGGGGGGGAGTAAATGATCTATTATTTTCTTTATTCCAAGTATACAACAAAATGCATTAAGTATTTGAGATACAAATTATTTAATGTAATGAAGGCATTGGAATGGAGTTTTTCAACTACATATAAGACTTCAGTGAGGGAGGGAGGAGGAACCTATCGCCATGAGTGACACATAGCCACACACCCTCCCCCAGGGGCAAGAACAACAGAAGTCATGGTGGAAGGGTGACGGCGGTCAGTGTGAGATATGAGAATAATAGTAACTGATAATATGACAAAATAGTAATGAGTTATCAATTATCAAGGGTTCAGGGGAGAGGGGGGAGGGAGGGGGAAAATGAGGAGCTGATACCAAGGGCTCAAGTAGAAAGCAGGTGTTTTGAAAATAATGATGGCAACATATGTACAAATGTGCTCGACACAATTGATGTATGTGTGGATTGTGATAAGAGTTGTATAAGCCCCTACTACAATGAATTAAAAAATAATAATAATTGATAATCTATCAAGGGGTTACGAGGGTGATGGTGGGGAGGGAGGGGAAAAAGAGGAGCTGATACCAAGGACTCAATAGAAAGTAAAAGTCTAGAGAAGAATGATGGCATGTACAAATATACCTGATACAATTGAGGTAATAAGTTGTAAGAGTCCCCAATAAAATGACCTTTTAATGAATAAAAAGTATTTCAGTGAGCTTATTTAAATTTTAAAAAAATCAAATAGAAATTATTTAATTAATAAGATGTGATTAAGAACCACCCAGTAAGAGGCCGGCAGGCATTGCAGAGGAGATGGGAAGCAGTCTGCCTCATAGAATGCCTAAGAAATTTAAGTGAACATATGCATGGTCTACTTTAAAAGAACCAACTATGGCAAAAATAGAAAAACTAAAAGTAATGTTTACACCAAACTCTGGGAAAAGCTAAGCGAATGAAGCTTAGTTTGAAAGAGTCCTTATTACTCCTATCAGGGATTTAATTGTTATCTAAAAATGAAAATGCAATAAATAAAGGATAAATATTTAGTCTAGAATTACCACAAGTAATCTCCAGAGCCAAGTATCTTCTGTGCTGTTATATGTGTTACTTACTTTAATAAAAATGAAAATCTAAATTAAATTTAAAATTAAAGGCAAAGCATGATAGTCATTTAGTGGGTATTGAGGGCTGGTATTTAAAAATGCATGTGTGTGAAAACTTTGATTAATCTTGGAAAGAACAACATTCAGTACTGGCCCCAAATGAGTACCAGAAATTCTCTAGTTTGGGACAGAAGGGAGGGCTTGGGGGTATAATGGAAAATAAAAAAATTAGGCCAAGTAATCATGGCTGATGAATAGCTTTAACGGCATCGAATCTATCTGAATGACTTATCAAGGTCAGACTTTCAAATATATAGGGGCAAATATGCCTTACAGTGTGGATCCGTGACTTTTAGGATATCTACTTTTGTTTGAACTCCCAGATATGACAGTTTACAAACACCCTATGTTCTTTTTTGCCTCTGTCCTGTAAAATGGAGCTAATAATAGTATCTGCTTCACTCTAACTTCTAAGACTTCTGTGACGATTAATTAAATAAAGCCTGTAAAGTATACGTAGCAGTCCTCAAAAGCATTCTCATCCTACGGATGCATAGTGCTATTATTACCATACGTTACATTAGTATGCATCCTGAGAGTTTAAATTATAGCCGCCATCACTCTGGCAGGCTGAATTAAGGTTCACCAGGAACAGAAACATGCACACTTTGTTGTCCACTGAGCACTGTGAGAAATTACAGGTATAATTTACTATCTCTGTCAGCAGGTGCTCAAGAAGGAGGCTACTTTCTTGCTTTTTTTCTCTCTCTTTAATTTCATTATTTATTTAAATCATTTT